GTCCACCTGCGTGGAGTCTTCATCAAGACTTCAAAAGGTAAAAGGCGAAGCTTGTTGAGATAAAAGGTCGGAGCTGTTGTCCAGCCCCCGGAGGTGTCCAAGTCTGACATGCTGATGTGCTGGTCTGGTTGCACTTAAGAACAGTGCCAAATTACTAATTTCTTTCCTTCCTCCTATTCTTAAAACCTAAATCTTTATCTTTTTCTCTTATTTACTTAAAACTTAGTAAGCAGCGTGCCAGTTGTATTATTACACCTGAAATTTACTGTTATGTCAACTCTGAGTGAAATTTTTATGAAAATTATAACTTGTGTTTTATTCATATAATATTTAAGAAATGTTTGTATGTTTATTCTTGTCATATATCTAAAATAAATTACTTTATTTTGAGAAATCTGACAAGACCACAAGTTCTTTTCACACTCATGATCAGAGGGGTGTTTCATTATATCTGATTTCATTTCTTGCAAGATCTTGTGGAACATGACTTTTATGAGATTAAGCTGGTATTAATCTCATGGAGCAGGGTTCTTACAAAGAAAACAAAATTAATGCTTCATATTAATGTTTCTATTTTGTGAAATCCTTGAAGGCAGTAAAATGTTACATTATTGTTGCTCCTTTGAAGCTGTACTCACCTAATTTTAAGATTTGTTAAAAGCCCAGGGGCATTTTAACACTTTATGACTCAATTAGTGTAAAAGGTTGTAAGGTGTCTCAGGACACGGTTTGACTCGTTTTTATTGTTTTTTGTTAACATTCTGTACCCGTTTAAAGGTCTGTGTGTCTTCTTTCCGACATGTAACCTCCTGTAGTACCACATCAGTAAGGTGTCGCAGTCAGAGCCCCAGTCTCTGAGCGCCAGCGCCGCCATGGATGACCTGGACTCTGCCCTGCAGTCTCTGGAGGTCAAGATGGAAGGAGAGAGCAGCTCCGCGACCGAGCTACTGGTCAGACTGGATTTTAATGACTCACCTCACAGTTAAAAAGCTGCAGCAGATACTAATTTAATTCACGCTTCAACACAAAAATGCCATTTTTTTAAAGCCGTGTCAATTTTTCATGTCAGGGGAAGAAACGTGTACTTTTATTTTTTTTATTATTATTATAATGATATAATGTAATTTAACAACCAATGCTTTTTATCATTTAAATATTTTATTTCATCCAGGAACATATGACTGCTCCAGAGCTTAACGAATACCTGAAGTTATTCAGGTAAAATTTAAACTGTTTCCTAACAGTTTTTGATTAACAACCAGAAGAAAAGTGTTTATAGAAATGTTTTTGTATGTTTCAGGCCTAAGAGACTCACTCTGAAGGGATACAAGCAGTATTGGTTCAAGTTTCAGGACACCTCCATCTCTTATTTTAAGAGCAAAGAGGAGAGCATCGGGGAGCCCATTCAACAGATTAACCTGAAAGGTATGGAAAACGTTATTTTATTACAAATTTGCTTCTATTTTTAAAAACATAAATCATACAAACAGTAAGATCCGCTGTCTGATAGCCACTGGGATCTATTTTAAACTACAATTAAGAAGACTATAATCTTATCTTTGTGCTTCTCAGAAACAAATCTATAAATCTTACATTTAAATCCAGAATGTTACTTTGTTAATCGTCCTGCACCTACAGGATGTGAGGTAGCTCCAGACGTCAACGTGGCAGCTCAGAAGTTCCTCATCAGGCTGCTGATACCAGCACCTGAAGGCATGAACGAGGTCTACCTGCGCTGTGAAAAGGTGAGGCTCATTTCAGTGTGTGTGACGTCCTTTCTTTCCCCAGCATCACACACACACACACACACACACACACACACACACACACACACACAC